TGGGTGGGGGCGGTGCTGGGGCAACCCGGGGGCATCCCCCCTGCTGGGCACAAAGCCGGGGGTTCCCTCGGTCTCAGCCGGACGCTGGGACTGGGACATACGGGACCGGGAAACCGGGGAGCAGGACACCTGGGGGTCACCTGGGTCACCTGGGACAGGGACACTGGGAACAGGGACTAGTGGGACTGGGGCACCTGGGACAGGGACACCTGGGACTGGGACACCTGGGACTGGGACACTTGGGTCACCTGGCATAGGGACACCTGGGACTGGGGCACTTGGGCCTGGGACACTTGGGTCACCTGGCATAGGGACACCTGGGACTGGGAAACCTAGGAGAGGGACATATGGGACTGGGATATATGGGACAGGGACACCTAGGACAGGGACACCTGGGACTGAGACACTGGGAACAGCGACTAGTGGGACTGGGACACCTGGAACAGGGACAGCTGGGACTGGGACACCTGGGATAGGGACACCTGGGACAGGGATACTTGGGCCTGGGACACCTGGGACAGGGACATTGGGAACAGGGACTAGTGGGACTGGGACAACTAGGACAGGGACACCTGGGACTGGGACACCTGGGACTGGGACACCTGGGTCACCTGGGATAGGGACACCTGGGATAGGGACACCTGGGACTGGGACACCTGGGAGAGGGACATATGGGACTGGGATATATGGGACAGGGACACCTGGGACAGGGACACCTGAGCCCCCATGGGAATGGGGCACGTGGGACTGGCACACCTGGGATAGGGACATATGGGACCTGGGACACCTGGGTCACCTGGGACAGGGATACTGGAAACAGAGACGTATGGGACTGGGACACCGGGGTCACCTGGGGCAGGGATATTGGGAACAGGGACACCTGGGAGTGAAAGATATAGGACGGGGACCCTTGGGACTGGGACCTATGGGAATGGGAAACCTGGGACTGGGACACCTGGGTCACCTGGGACAGGGACACTGGGAACAGGGACACCTGGGACAGGGACCCTTGGGACAGGGACACGGGAAACGGCCACCTGGGACTGGGCCACCTGGGCCACCTGGGCCCAGGACACGGGGACAGGGACACCTGTCCAGGCCCAGATGGGACGGGGACACCTGGGCCCTCCGGTGGGGTGACCTCAGTCTCCCCACAAACACCCGGGGCACCCACCACGAGGCTGTCCGGGGTGAAGGTCCCGGTGGCACCCTGAGCACCCATCCCTCCCCCTGCCCACCTGTCCATCCGTCCGTCCATCCCTCCGTCCGGCACCGCAGCTGCTCCCGGCTCGGCTCCGGTGGCTCTGGTAGCCCCGCTGGTGCCCGCTCCACGTGACGCCGTGGGCACCCGCAGCCAGCCTTGGCCGGGGACAGAGGTTGCTGCCGGCCATGGGGCCCCCCCGGGGGTGGCAGGGGCAGGAGAGGACACGGGCGCCGCGTCCGAGGACACTCACCCTCCCCAAGACAGCACAGGGACAGCCTGCCAGCTCCCTGGGGACAGTGGCCGGCTACGGAGCCCCGTGCCTGTGGGAGGACGAGGAAGGACAGCTGAGACCTTGCATGCTCGTGCTACATGTGCACGGGGCTGCTGAGACCTCCCATGCTCGTGACACGTGGGTGCGCGGCTGCTGAGACCCGGCACGTTCATGACACGTGGGCACAGGCTTGCTGAGGGCTGAGGCTGCACGTGCTCGTGACACGCACGCACACGGCTGCCGAGAACCCAGCTGCCCCGTGCTCGCGACACGGGGGTGCACGGCAGCTGAGATCCCCCACACTCGTGACACACAGGTACGCGGCTGCCGAGACCCTCTGTGCTTGTGACACGTGGGTACCTGGCTGCTGAGACCCCCCCCCCCCCCTCCTTATACCTCTGCCTATGTTGG